CGAGTTTCTGACCGATTTTCTTGCATGATACACCGTTGAAAAGCTCGAATTTCACGTTCTATTTTCGTATCCGTTGCTAGGCAACCCGATAAACACATGCTCAAATATCATGCCCGCAAGTTAAGGTGTCATGCCAGGGCGCATTCGGGCGCATTGCCCGTTACCCACTTGTCAATCTCAGGGCGCATACGGGCGCATTGGGCGTTAATGAGTTAAATTAACACCAAGTGGTGGTGTTAAACAAAGGTGTTATTTTAGCACCCTTTTCCGGTGCTAATTTAACACGACATGAATAACAATATTTTGAAAAGTGTCAATTTAACACTCAAATTGTTTAACACCACTTTAGAGGTGTTAAAATAACACCGGTTTCTGGTGCTAAATTCTTGGTGTTAGAATAGCACCATAAGTGGTGTTAAAAAATTTTATTTCCCAGTGTTAAATTAGCACTGTTTATGGAGTGAGAACATGGGTGTTAAAATAGCACCTTTTTTGTGGTGTTAAAATAGCACCTTTTTTGTGGTGTTAAAATAGCACCTTTTTTGTGGTGTTAAATATAAAATCGGAATATAAAATCTATTTCTTAAAACTCCACTCTGCGCCATTTTGGAAATTACAAGTAAAATTTTTGCGCCAATTTTCCCGTCGAGCGAGACTAGGCGCTAGTTGATCGGGAAGTCAATTCTCACCACTTGATGTAAAAATATTTATTCGCAACTTGATGTATAAAAATGCAAACATAAAAATATACGTTTTAGTTGACATATTTAAAACAATGACTTGATATAAAAAATGGTGCGATTTGACAAGAAATTTAAACTTGATATAAAATTTGGTACAACTTGACATAATATTTTGACTTGACATAAAAATTGTTTTCTTTGACATAATATTTTAACTTGATACAAAAATTTGTCCAACTTGACAATTTGTCACCTTCGGAAAAGCATAATATATATATATATATATATAGAGATATAGATATATAGAGATATAGATATATAGAGATATATATAGATATAGATATATATATAGATATATATAATTTAAAGTTCTTTATTGCCTCCAATTCTGACGAGTCCTTTCTTACAATATATAACTAAAAGATTATTACTTATTACGGCCTATTACCGAACTATTATTACTTATTTACAATAATTTATTTTAAGAATGTACTATACTATTTAAGAATTGTTCTATTTTTGAAAAAATCGCTACGATTCCATTGGAACAAATTATTATAAATTGGTCCCTTTCAGAGTCTGAGACACTACATGGAAGTGACCCACTTAAAAAACTAACAAGCATGCCGTTATCATCTTGGTTAAAAATGCTAGCACAAATATTTAAACTCAATTGGTCCTGTAAATTGTCCCACAATAATTCTCTTTCTATCGATACGCTTTGGCAGTCCATTATAAAATGTTTGAGGGTTCCCAATATTGATCCATGACATATCCTACAGATCTTCTGTTCACCCTGATCTTCCACAACATCACTAAGTTTTGACGGAATATTTCCGCATAGAAGATTTACCAGTGTTGCTATAGGTTTGAGGTACATTGGGTTCCGCTTCGCTGTGTTCCACAATTCTAGAGGCTGCAGTTCAGTATGAACGTCCCGAAAATATCCAAGTTCTGGTTTGATATGCAAGCCCTGTCTCCAACTCTGTAATTGAAATTGACGAATACTTGCTTTAACCAATGATTTCCATGAAGATTTAGTTGGGACTTGACCTGTTTGTATGTAGGTGGTGAGATAATCCCCAAGTCCATATTTATTTAAAATTCTAACGATGTTTGGAATAAATCCCATTTTCTTCTTAGTCACATCATTGAAAAAAGATGATAATCTAACAAAAAATATAATTTTGTCCACATTCGTTGGTTTCAATGATAATAATTTATGAAGAAACATCAGTTGTACTTTATCGATATGTCCCTCAATTGTCCATAGTCGCAAACTTCCAAGTGCGGCTTCTGATCGCGTTGATGGTGCAAGATCTTGAGCTCGCTTTGCTGCAAAACGATTCACTCGTTCAAGTATGTCATACTCAGTTTTTGTGATGTTACTCCACAACTCACCTCCGAATAACATTGTCGGCAAACCAACTGTTGTCCATATGTTAATTCCACAAATTGGATTTAAACCGGCAGGACGAACTCCTGCACTCATCAAACTTGACACTACTGCCTTGCCTTTCCGTGCCATCTCCAGTGTACGCTCTGTACTCGAAAAATTTCCACTTAGACGAATGCCAGCATGTTCAGATGACAACTTCTCCTTAATCTGTTTTCCATAAAGTGTCCAGCATCTTTGTTGAACATTACGTCTATGTGTATTTACATGTTCTCCAAATGTGATAATATTCGTCTTTGTTACATTATAGTCGAATCTCCATTTTTTGCTGTACGCTTCCATAGTTGATATCATTTTTTGTAGACCATTGACACTTAGGGATAACAATGCGACATCGTCAGCTATTAGAACATTTTTCACGGAAATTAATGAGTCAATATTAATTCCAACGTTCATCGTACTTAACTCTGCATTTATATCATTGTTAAAGCATAAAAACAACCATGGCGATATAACTCCACCTTGCCGAATACCTTGGCGAATGAGAAATGGTTCTGAGAGCAAATCATTATGAGCCACACGACAAGACAGATTTGAATACCATTTCTTTAATAATCTCCATGACTTGCCCTGTATTCCAAGATTGAACAGTTTGAAAAAGAGACCATCCATCCAAACACAATCGAAAGCTTTTGAAATATCCAAAAAACATGCATAAACTTTGCTTTCTCTCTCAACTGCATGGTGAATCGCTTCTTGCAATACAAAACTGGCCTGAACACAGCTTTTTCCTTTTTGATATGCAAATTGCATCTTATCTGGAACTCCATTTTTAATTAATATTGGCATCATTCGATTAAGGATAAGTCGTTCTAATATTTTGCCAATAACATTAAGAAGGGTGATACCTCTGTAATTATCTTTGTCTAATTTATTCTTCTTTTTCCCTTTAAATAGGGAATAGATAACACCAATTTCGACAGATTTAGGAATAGCTTCCAATGCTCTAATTGCATTGAAAACGTCAGTCAGGACAGCAAAGAACTGCTTCCCAGCATACTTGACGTGTTCGTATACAAGTTCATCCATTCCACCAACTTTGTTATTTGGCAACTTTAAACAAAGGTTGCTTACTTCCTCTGTAGTAAACGGTGTTTCTAATACGTCATTG